CAGAATAGTTAACATTGGCCTGTGCGAAACCAATACCGGTGGCCCTGAGTCGAAGGCTAGAATCCTTAGTTAGGATCTCTTTTTACTTCAAGCGGGATATATTTGCAGAGCTGCCGCTGTATTCGCGGCCCATGCGCTCCTACCAGCGACATTCCAGGCTATCATGGATCGATCCCAGGAAATGGGAATGAGCACCTACATACATCAGAGGATGGCTCGATACGATCTCGAGACAGATGCGCGAAACGGGCCGATGTTCCATATTTCGAGCAGCTGAAGTGCGGTCAGTATACGATGACCATTGTTCGTAGGGGCGACATCGAGGGTTTGAAGGTTTGGGCTCAACATGCTACGGATTCGAGAATGGCTCTCGTCATGGAAATTGAGCCGTTATCCCCCTCGGGGCACCGTATGTCCAGGAATCGGGACCGTTGAGCGCGCGCCCATCTCTCATCATCGGACTGTTGCGAGACGAATCGGAACGTGGGAGACATCGAAGTCAATCCCGCGAGTACTTCAGGAACCTCCGCGATTCATCCTCGACTCGCGGGAATTCGAAAGAAACTCTGAAGTTCATGGTTCCGTCAAAATACCTTTGTTGTGAAGAGACTTTCATTCGTGTCGGTTCCAAGCCGGTAGTCTGGCGGCAGGCGACCCGTTTCCTCACTTTAGTTGTGTGACCCCAGAAGACGCCGCGGCTCAGTTCAGCCCTGGTGCTCATTCGATATGCGACATTGTGTTCTCGTGTGCGAGCTCCACTTTGGCAGTCGGCAGCTACGTTCAGCAGATCGCCCATGACGTTATGTCGTGGCCGCAAAGTCACCGTCATCAGAGCGAGCGAGGGAGAGCTGGCTGCCGTTCGGACCCACGCACTCACTAACACGCTTTGAACAACAAAGTACCCTTGCTCGGCTGCCAATGCGTTCCACAGCGAGGCGCCTATTCGTGATTCTGGGCTAATTACAACAAGGGAGTCGTTGATATGATTAAATGGGTCGGAGCGTTCGGATTCGATTGGAGTGGGTCAGACTCCTCGGGGATCATGAATCGACCTATGTGTTGTAGAAGAGAGACGAATTCAGAGTATCCTCCTCGAAGGTGAACGCGAATACACCACTTCCCATATCGGAATGGTTGCCGAGAGCCCGAAGAATGTGCACAAAATTTAGCTCTTTTCTTCTCTTCCAGATCCTCGCGTCATCGTCGCTGTCGGCCCTCGGAGTGTCTCGACTCGTCTGGACGGGCTCCTGAGCTATTGGAGTGAGCGCCTTGAATTCCATCTGTCAGGTGAGTTTCTCGCTCCGGATCGGATCCCGCCTGGATGTATCCCCAGAGCTTCCGTACGCATCTGCAGAATAATTGGTCGATCATAGACGGTGCGAAAGTCTTCTCACTTGGATCTGTTGTCGACGTCTTGGTGAGACGCATCGAAAGTCCCACAAGGCGGTCGATGACAGGCAAACAGACGGGCGGGCATGTGCCGTCAACTATCCCGGAGGTCAGACGAAGGTTGTTTGCCAAAAATATTCGCACAGAAACTCCTCAATGGATTCAAAGTACGAGGCTAAGCCGTCGGTCGGAGCTCTTGATGCTCAGCGACGAGCACACAATGACAACGCAGAGAACGTTCGTCAACAGAATCAACCCGATTTGTTTTCTCTCTCGACGTCTGGTATTCTCGGAACATACCCTCGGATAGGAGTAATTTTGACCGATTGAAATCAAAACTCAGATTCAAGGCGTGTCGCTGAGGCATCGATAGAGCGGTGAATGACCAGAAACGAATCGACTTTCTTTCTGATATCCTCGCATTGTAGGTAGGTATATCTGGCTTGAGCGTCGAAGGTTGCTTGACCTTCGCGACTGCTTTTTCTCAAAAAAAAAACTTCTGGGAGAATCGCGGCGGTCACCGCAAAAAATCGCAAAGGTCGACTTCGGAACACCGAAGGAGGAATGAAAGCCGTGGATAGCAGCGAGACGGTGATGTATCGGATCACATAGTTCTGTTTCTTGTGGATGCACGCACTTGCTCCGGCGAGATCTTCGGAGCCTGTCTTCCGAAGAAGATCTTCGTTCAGGAAGCTGCTCTTGCGATCCAATTATTGGTATCGCCGCTAGTCGCCGTCATTCGGAACCGAATAAAATCCTCAAGCGAATCTTTTAGCCAGGACATCTTGGCATGCGACCCCGCCTGCGGACTGAACGATTGGTCCCGGACCGGCTCAATCGTTATCGAGCTTCCATATTCAGAAACGGAGTCCGTCGCGGGGATATCCTCTTGAATGACTTATCGTAAGACACAGCAACAGCGAGCGGCTCCCTTTGTTGGCTGGCTTGCGTTCTCGAAGAAAGGGCAAGTGATGCGAGTCACCAGAAAGCCGGCAACGGCCCATGACCTAGTTCAGAATATGACTTGACTACAGTCACGGCCAAGGCGAGCTAGAAACATATCTGCACCAAGCTCGTGGGAATCCTCAAGGAAAAAAACAGCGAGACCCTCGTGAAATCGAGTTCGATATATCAGCGGCTTTTTCCAGGCCTCCGACAGGCCTGAACGACACCAAGTGCGGAGCGTCATTGCGAATCCTGGTGTAGATTGGAGTCGGCGAGCAAAATTCGTAATCATTCACTATTTCGGTCACACCAGAAAAAGAAACAAGCGGTGTCGTTCGTTTAAAAAGCCCGATCATCAGAAACCCGTGTTCCGTACTGTGAGCCAGGGTCAGAGTCTAGCCTCGTGACGAGTGACCCTGCGGCCACGGTGAAAGGCTTGGAAAACTCGAAAGAAGTAAAGCGGACTGAAGCGGGATCATTGTATGGATGACAGAACGAAAGCGGCAGCAACATTGTGTGTGCCAGAGCTTAATAGAGGCGAAGCCGGACCGTGGTCCCAGCATGCAGGCAGGTCAGCAGACAGGCTCCCCGTAGCCCTCAGTCCTCATAAGTGAGAAATCAAACACGATCGTACAATCACGCGTGGGGATGAATCGGGGTGTTATTTCTTAGCGAGTACGCAGAGTAGCGCCACGTTCTCGAACAACGGCACCGGCGCTGCTCGGGCTCTTTCGCTCGTCATTAGGTCATACTGTTGGAGATGATTACGCGGCAGCAGCGAGCCCCGACGTGAGGGAACCACGCTGAATTTGATCATCTTCCACAAAGAGAGCAAGAAAATCGCTGCTTGCGCTGCCATTCGGGATGTGCTTTAATGACGCAACCCGAATCCCTGCTAACCCAGATTTGGGATTCGTTGTCGAGCGAGAGCCGGCAGTCAGTCAGTCAAGCGATTGTTGTTTCTGTAGCGGAGACAGTCGGTGTGGCTCGTAGCACACTTTCCATTTCTGGGGCTCCTCCTTACAAACTGTGCCGGTCGGCCTCTTACCGCAACGACCGAAACCGGCAGATAAAGGAGCCGGTCAGCGGATGAACGCGCGCAGCGGCGTTCTTCGTGACCGTCGTTCGACGGGTTAACAGGGGCCGAAACGACGGCGATAACACTTTCGCGGTTGTTATGCCGTCGGGGAATTACAGCGACGTCCGAGGATGCCTACCGATAGCTCTCGTGGATTTCCAGCTCAAATCCACCGTTCGAAATTTCGAATTGCAATCATGAGATGCCTTCGAATCGTTCCTTCACTGGAACGCTCGATCTGCTCATTGAGTGCCGGATGCGATATCAACGGTTATATGATTATGACGAGAAGGCAGTTGGGCCGACTCGACCCAGAACGACATGAAGTAAAATCTGTCGATGTTTACAAAGCCCGAATCGCGTCTTGGGAGCAAGCATGTGCGTCAGGATCGATGTAGACAGGTTCCATTCGGCTCGGCGAACGTCTAGTAAATATGCCTTACCGTTTCGGGAAGCATTCACATGATGTGTCAGTCCTCTGTCGATAGTCAAGGTTGTCATGCAGCCTTGCCCCGATTCAGCATGGCTTCGTAATAATAGCGCACATTGGCGATGCCTCGGCTAACATTGGAAAACCCCAATTGATTTAGTTCTCCACCGAATACGGGGTGCGGATGGATGATACCTACGAAGTCGATGTCCTGATCGACCACATGAGCCCCTATCGCCGCTTTCTCCATGTAGGGCTGGTCGTGAGCGTCGATGACGAGCACCAGATTGGAACATTGAGGTTCCGACCATCGGTACCTAGTTATTGAATCGAGTGGATTTCCTGATCCGCTATCTTCATCCGAAAGCTTCTCACAGGCGCAGAGGAGTCGCCGCTCCTATGAACGAATAGCTCGATCGACTCGCGGCTCGCGTGCGAAACGCCACGCTCTCTTCGACCGTATGAATTGGCAATGACCTACTCTGGGAAGTAGGCTATCTCGGCCCTTTCCGGCCAGGCAGGCAGGCGAGCGGGCGACTGGTCAGGCGGGCAGGCTAAGACTTAGCCAGACACGGATCTCCAGAGGCAACCGACCTCCACCCTTCACGGCGGCGGCGGCGGCGGCGGCAGATACATGGGAGGAGAGCAGAGAAGGGAAGAGAAGTGATCGCATGCTTCTCCTATGACATAACGACCACTCTTCACCCATTCGACCGCACCTTGACCCGTTTTCTGGACATCGGTATATAGCGCAACCCTTTAGTCTCGTTCCTCCAGAAACGGGCAACAGGAAAAACTCTCCCTTCCCTCGCTCGCTGATCTCGTCCAAACGACGCACTGATCGACGAGTGACCCACTCCACTGACTGATTCCCACTCACTCAGGAAGGAATCGATGCTTCGGTCGCCGCACTCTCGCGGCCATGGTTCGCTTGTCGCGCGGCGTAGGTACACACGATCGGGAATTCGAGGAGAACTCGGGAGAGCACACCCCTCTTTATCGATGAATGAATGAATGAATGCATGCATGCATTCATGCCTATAATAATATCCATATTTTCGAACTCTTTTAGACAGACGCTCCCTGCCCTCTTGAAGCTCTTCACATCTACCTATCAGAACTCAGTGTTTGACCTGTTTCAGAAATCGATGACGTCATCCAGAGTCAATGGTCTCTGAAGAGCCCCCAGAGAAACAACAGCGTCTCGAAGTTTCGTCGATCGGACGACCCCCGGAACCCCAGCACAGCAGCCACCCGTGGTCACTCCCGATGGATGTCGTAGGAGGATCCGTTTCACCGCTTCCGCCGATGAACGGTGGAGCGCGAGACTTGTTCCCGCAACGAAAACAACGGGAATTCATACCTGACTCAAAGAAAGACGACTCGTATTGGGACAGACGTCGACGGAACAATGAAGCTGCCAAGCGCTCAAGAGAGAAACGTCGTCTCAACGACATGGTTTTGGAAACCAGAGTTCTGGAGCTGGTCAAGGAGAACTCAATGCTCCGAGCAGAGCTGAACGCCATACGCGAGAAGTTCGGATTGGGTCCCGCGATGCTGCCGCAGCAGATGCCCCACGGTATAAATCAATTGCTCCAATCGCATCACCCGTCACCGTTATCGGATCCGGCGTCGCTTCAGCGAACAGTTATACATCAACCGATACCTTTGCATCATCCCCACCTACAGCGAGCGGTGCCTTCTCCGGTAGTTACGCCGCAGACGCCTGCGAAACTCATCTCAGCGCTGTCAATGCCCAAAGTGATGCATCCAATCTATAGCCAGCCTCCTCATCAGGTTCCTATACACCCAGCCGAAGAGCACATTTCTTCTTCGCCACACGAAAGCTCCCCGTTGTCTTCAGGGTCGTGGGCGTCTTCCGAGGATCATCCTCCGGCCCTCACTCCCAGCGTGGGGACGGCCTTCTCATTGCCTCACAAACTCCGACACAAATGGCTCATGGGCAGCGAATCGGGCGGCGTCCCCGAGCATCGCGAACGGGAGGACGCGGTCTCGTCCGATGGCGACAGCGGCGCGTCCTCGACCGATGTTCCGGCAAGTCCTCCACGACCAGCGAAACAACGCAGACGCGTCATTGTCAGCGCGACCGGGGATCTCAAGACAGAAAATATTCAATTGCGATCCGAGATGCAGAGGCTCGCAGAAGAAGTCGCTACACTTCGCGATATCATGCTGAATCCAAGCGTCACAGGTGGAACGCAATTCCAAAATTCGAAAGGCGATATCAGTCCTCCACCGACTCACGTCACTCCACCGCCAACGCCGGCTGAGCCCGAGGATCTTCGAAAGATCGGCGAATCGTCTCCCTCGTCCTGTGGCAACATGAGCGGAAGTGAACATTGAAAGGCGCAAGCGGGAGAGTGCCCCCATTGATTGGCCCTCAATCTTGGATAGAGCAAGATACGCGGAGCTGTGGTCTCGACTTGAACGTGGAGAAATTCGGTTCGTACCTTCCGAGTCAAATGCTTGAATCGGGAACGGCCTCTGGAATGGGGTTCTCGTGCTCCGAAACCAGAGTTGCCGTTCCGAAACGACCGATCGCCAGCGATCCCACTCAGGGATACCAATCCGACACTCGAGTCGGTTCGCGTATCCGGACGATAGATCAAGGCCCGGCTCCTCGCTCCCGTCCCCGACGCGTCGAGCAGAGCAGCGCGGACTCCTCAACTGACCGTACCAAGAGAGTTTTGTGATATTTGATGGCAAATAGGTCTTGCCGTCAGTACAACTAAAATTAGTTGATGAACGAAGGCAGAGTAATATAACTTATCTATTGACGTAATGATATGATTTAGTGTACGATCAACACGATATGAGCTTCCAAGGCCGCATTGGGGGCAGATCGACGATCAGCACTCACAGCACGATCGCAAAGATAATTTTCTACTGTACATATGAGTTGATGCTCCTGGGAGCGAGTCCAGGAGCCTCATACAGAAGCTCTCTATATTTTCTCAACTCCGTGTCAGAAGCCGACATCGGAAACAAAAAAACACCGCATGATGAACCACGCCGGAGAATGTTCGCCGCAAATCTTTTCCCTTTAAGGCTCGCTACATGATGAAACTGAATGATGAATTCAAATAAAACGAAGCCTCTCGCGCGTTGAAGCACGCGAGAGACTCTACCAAAGACTTCCCCGCCGGCACGGAAATGGCAACTCGTCGTCCACGGAGACGAATCCGGACGAATTAGCGTACGCGTCCCCAAATGAGTTGCCACAGCCGGTCCAACAATTTACTTTCGGAAAAATCGTATGTGCCGTCTTCGAAAAGGAAATCACTCGCAGCAGGATATCTTCCCAATCATTGAGATCTTCCGCCCCTCCAAGTGAAGGACCCTCCTTCCCGAAAAGTTCTTCTTGCTCGTGGATTACGCAGAATCTCTCAGGTGCTGCAGCAATCATAGTTAATTTTGTCAAAGTTCGCGTTCCGTTCCATCAGACATACACGTCCTACATTGTTCCCGTCCGAAATATAGGCTCATCGACGCACATATCCGCGTTCGACTCGGGGCGATATACTGTATGGAGAGACTTAATAAAAAAAGATGACCAAAAGCCCTGGCCTTCAATGATTCTTCGATCGGCGAGAGACGTCAGAAAAAAAGGATAATTCGTGCATCTGCCTCCCCTGAGCGAGTCATGGTTGCCCCTGGCGCGCGATATCACCTGCACGTTCCTGCTGTACATCCGACATTGGGCCAGCTCGAGCAGCAAATAAACAATAGTGGTACTGAAAGCTACGGCACAAGTTTTTCTGGTGGAATGCGGGCTCCTTAGAAGGCAGTGAGGAGATCTTGGGCAGCGTGTCTATTGCCGCTTCGATCGTGGAAACCGAGGTAGGTCACTGTCCCTGTCATCTCTGAGTGAGTACGGGGAAGCAGCTCAGCCGCAAGCTAAATTCATTCTCGAGCTATCGAAGACGACCGCGGCTGAGCCCCGAATGTCCCTCTGTTCGATGTGCGTTCGATTCGGAGCGGGCTTATCGAAGACGCGGATCATACGATAGGGGCCGAATGAATTTCGTCGGCCTCGAGCTCGGTTCCGCTCGGCGCCGTACACGGACGTCGTTCCTCGCTGACTCTCTTCTTGGATGTTTCTGAAAGTCCGCCGTCGTCGATCAGGCATCGGAGAACTCGGAGTCAGAAGGGCAAACGATTATTCTCCCGAATTTCAGGGCGCCATGGAGAACGCATTCATCCTCAGCGACGTTTTTCGTCAGGATTTCACCCTGACTGCTCAGAGTTTCACGATTGGGCTAATTTTTCTCGAATACTCCAGAATAAGGAGCCTCAGGTATCCAGTGCCAGGTTTCACCGGCAATCGACACAGGGAGACAACATTCTTGTTCCTTAAACTCGTCAGTATGACCGAAATACCTCATGAGGTAAGATCTCGGAATCCGTCTCCCGGACATTCGTTCCGGAAATCACATGTATTAGCGCCAAGAGCAACATCCCGGACGTACGAACGAGATTCATCTCTAGGATCTGATGTCGATCGTACGCAGAGTTATGGAACCCGTGGTGGCGCATCGGATCGCTTACGAGGTGCGCGCGTTACGCGCGAACCCTACGAATCAGGTCATGAACATTGCTCAACGAATGGACGACTTCCTTCAAAATCCAGAGACCAATCAGACCACCACATTCAATCGGAGATCGCTGGTAGGCCGATTCATGCGGAAGGTAGTGTTATCGCTGAAGGCTGCGGACTTCGGTCTGACGGTGAGGTTCGCTCAGTATCTGATTGAGAACTTCGACGAGACCTCCAGAGGTGAGTCGTCCGACGAGGGCCCGGCTCGGGGACTGCCCACCACGTTCCACGATATATCGTTCGCCACGAACTTCCCCGAGGAAGCGAACAGGAGCGGCTCGAAGTGCTGGGGAAGGAAACGAGCTCGGGCCTACCTGAACGCGCAAGCGATCAATCTCAGAGACAACCCCGGCACGATGGTCAGCCCAAAGCAGCTCGACGATGATCTGCAGGCGATTCTCGCGGACGATCCGGAGCTCACGGATGCGTACTATCTGGCCTCCCTGAATCAGATGCTCTGCGGCGAGTACAACGGTGCGCTAGAGAGTTGCCACAACTTCTTCCTGTCCACCAAAAAATATTCTGCTTTCAAATTCAGATACGCCCTCCTCAATATTGGCATCATCCAGCGCAAGTTCAATCACATCAGGGAGGCGGAACTGGCTCTGAAAGAATGCATTAGTCTATGCCAACAAGTCGGTGACACGCAGACTCTGGCCGAGGCCACCAATTGGCTTAAGTGCACAAACGACGAGAGCTCATTCCAAGATGCGTATTCGAGGAGTCATAAACCCCCTGGAGAGTTCATGATGTATTCCAGCAAGTATTCGAATAAGTTAGAGCGCTTTCCCGTGTCTGCAGACTCTCCTAGGCTGAGCGTCGAGCGGCTCGATCAAAGGAGAGCGACCACGAGCTCAGGTCCGTGCAGCATGATCGCTCACAACTTCGAGGAACTCCTTCTCTGGATAGGATACGGATTCCACGAGAACGCAAAACTTCATGGAGAAATGATCCTGTACATCTCCCGAGGGAGATTCGCGCACCAGCTGAAGGATTGGGTCGTTCTGAGTGAGAGCACTCTGTTCCCTCTAATTTTCTTCGCCAGACATGCGATGGCTGACTACGACTGTCTGAGAGCCAGGAAGTTCATAGAGATCGCCACATACGTAGTTCCTGAGCATGGCGAGCTCAGAGACATGGTCGACCTAGGACTGCTTTGTCTCAAATGTGAAGAAGCGCTACGCTTGGAGCGCTACGAGTCATGCAAAGAATTCGTGGGCTCGATGGGTATAATTTCACAATCGCAAGCGCAATTGTACAACGCTCGGATGTGTTTCCAGAAGGGTAGCTACCAGCAAGCTCTGAGAATTATAGAACACTCTGATCCCGAAGCGGACGACGACATGCTGCGCTTGACGAAGGGCTTGCTGAAAGCTCGAGTTCTAGCTGAAGTCGGATCCGATCAGGTCAATCAATGCATTCTCGGATGCCTAGCGGAGTGCGAGCGGTTCCAACTCAAATACCTTGGTGCGATGCTCAGATTGGAGGTGGCGAAATATCATAAACGTGTCGGATCGCCCCACGGAATTATAGAATCGATCATGCGGGCCGTCGCTCCGCTCATAATGTCGCATGGAACGGCGGAAGACAAGCTACACTTCAGGAAGATCGAGGCCGAGGTCGCGGAAGATCCCAGAGAATCCGTCGAGCTCATGGCTGCTTGTTACGAAGAATGGAAACACAGAGATGACGTTTACAACCAACGGCTTGCTCTGGACTACCTCGCACGGAAATGCCACGAGTTGGGTGACATCAGCAAGCGGAATATTTTCTCCTCGTTGTTTAGGAACTTAGTGACTACGGAAGGTTTACATTGAATTCTGACCCTGGGAATGGCGAGACGCATCGAAGATTTTGAGCTTGGCGAAGAACTCCGAAATAGTGGTGGAATTCCTGTCGAGTTATCAATTTCTGAATTATTCATGCTTCCCAATGCTCTTTCCGAAGCCTCCTGATGATGAACTTGACCCTGCGCTACGTCTCCGCGACCTCACGTGGAGATGTTCGCTCTTTCTCATCCAACAACCTCTCCGGGCTAATATTCTCCGTCGCCGCCGCCGTATCAGAGACGGAAGCGATTGGGCGCCAATCTGGGAGTCACCTAGAGGAGCCATAAACTTGAGCTTACGTTCCCATCAGGATGGCAAGGCGCTCTGAGTACCTACGAATTCCCCGGCCGCGCCTGACCCGAGGTAGCCTTGCGGGGATTCGTTCCTCGTCCTCACCGGAAACAGTCGACCTCTGATCGCTTGGACAACGGCGAATCAGGGGTTTCCGATGGTTCCTTCTCGCGGATCCTGAACCCCTCAACCTGGGAGGGGGGGGGGGAACGATAGCTCTCGAACCGGGTCCAATCATCTCTAGCTTACACTGAGTAACCTTTTGGATAATCCCGATGCTCAACATCGCAGGGAGAAACTCGATTCTCCATAATCATGGCTTCCTTTGGTATAATTCCTCTGTTATCAGATGCCGAACCATCAGCTGTCAGCGACGGTCACATCATGACCGTTGAGAGAAGCAAGGCTAAGCGATTTCGCGGCGACTGCTTTGAGATTCGGGAGAGGGCGCTGCTCGCAATGGGTTGCCCTCTCCGATCCCGGACCCACCCAACTAAGGCACTCACATGCCTCGGAGGAAAATCCTCCGTCCGAAAGGAGCCAAAAGTTCGGCTTCATCTCTAAAAGTCCTACCATTGTGATTGCTCCAACGGGAAGCATCATACTTTGAGTTTCGACGTCCTGGAGGTGAGTTCGCGAGCGATTCCGAGATCGCTCGTGTGACCCCCCCTTCCACAGCCATTCATCCGCGCCGGGAGCGGTCCGACGCATGCTCAACACCTGTGGAATGATTCGAAAAACTAGTCTCGAAATTTGTCCTCCGCCCATGACAGCGTTAGGGAATGGGTCGCATTGACAGCATAAGATGCGTTATCAACTCTCGGATATCGCAGATGAAACTTCCTCCCAGAGTAACTCCCACTCCTTTCCTGGCTGCATCTCGACGCCCTCGGGATCCAGTTTTTCTCTTGGGCTCGCTGTCTGAGCCCAATGACGACGGTTGACCTACCCCGCGAGGAGGGAAAGCTCTTTTCCAGCTCCGGGATCAAAATCCTCCCAAGGATGAGAAGTTAGCTTATCTAGCATACGGCCTCGACGGGCTACCAAAGTTCCCAAGTAGTTCTTTCGGAAACCCGCACCTCGTTGTTTCTATTTTCCCGACCTGACTGACATCACTCAACCCGGCTCCTGTCCGTCGAAATCCCTGATCCGGTTCATGCTCGAATTTTTAGATGGCCAGCGCTATACAATCGCAAATCTCGCAGATAGTGGCGATGCAAAAACGCGTCGTACAACTACGCCAGGAAGCTACTCTGCAGAGGATCACCGTCTCCGCTGCGTGCGACGAGTGAGTACGACAACCATATACCACGGAACACATGCGCCCGATGCCATTCGCTGAACTATGATACATCGTCTCCGAATCGGCCTTTGCGCGGCCACAGGCAAGTTTCTCCTCGGGCGTAGCGCCGCGACCAGGATCTACTCACGGCGCCAGCGGACATGGGAACGATCGAGCGGGAGCGCCCCTAAAATTGGGGCGCTCCCTATCTTGTGACTCCTTCCGGATACCCCCTAAGTGGATCCCCATCGCACCGCTCTCAAGCCCCGTCCCCGATGACGATTGATTTCCAGCCACCGCGTCGAAACATCGTTTTCGAACGATGGGGTCGCTTACCAGCCATCAAGGTAGATTTCAAACAACGGCGATATTCCCGGAGACTGTCACTCGAAGGCTGATATCGCACGAAGGTGTGGACGGCTCGGATAGTCCCCGTAGGAGCCGAAATTTCTCGAGTGCTCATCGACAGAGAGAAAGGTGGCTCGATCTGGCAACGACGAGCTGGGGAAGGAAACATGTCTGAGGCGGTATTCTGCGATGTTCTGCTTGGAGAATCGCATTGTGGCGGGGTGACAATCGACAGAAACGTTGTTTTTCTTAGCGTTCGTCTCCCCAAACCAGGGGCATCCCTGGATACGTTAGTCGTTCGACGGGTTCTTCTATATTTAGATGGAGACACACGAAGTATTCTTTAATTCCGGAGCTCCCCGATCAGAGATCGCTCCGTGACTCCCGTGAAGCAGACTTGATTCCGATTCCGCTCGAAACAAGTCACTATCCCAGGAATTTCCCTCTGATTGAATCTTGGCTCGGGGGATTCCACGGTGACCCGAATGAAAGCCTTCGATGTTTGTCGAGCGTACCGTGCCCGATTTTTTTCCTAGACTCCTCTAACAATAGTGATATAGCCTGAGTTGTCGTGTCGGTGTTACGACCTGCAGGTTTTGATAACAAGGGTGGCCGACGGCAAGATTCCTGTAATTTGGGGAAACGAACGTAAAAGTATCCTCGCTATCGAGCGTCGGTGTTATGAAGCGAATCCTGATTCGGCTGAAAATTCCAAAGTTGGAATCAAAGTGACCACCGGTTGCCGTAGCGGCTGTGGATTTACCTGCGAGTTTGACCCGACTCCTTTCCCATGCGAGTCCCATGAGAGAGAGATGTCTTCCTGTGTTGCCTCCTGATTCGCAGAGATCACCCTGTGGGTAGCTACTCCGGTCGACACCGCTGTTCATTGTGCCCGAACTCATTTTCTTCCAAGTTCTGCAGCTGGCAGCCCTAACGACCTCCTGCGACTGCTTGCTTCTCAAAACCGCGCAGTGTTCTGGGCCATCTCGAACAAAGAGAAGTCTTCCACGGCTCGGTCGAAGTCGGAAGGTAAAAATGATTCGTTCGTCGTTTTCTGCTTCGCGAGGGAGAACCCGAGACCTGTATCGATTGAAGGAAGCTCGTCGGAGATTTAGCTACCGGAAGGAGCGACGGAAGAGCGAATTAGCACAACCCAAAGTCGGGACATATTAGTCGATCATCCCGCACAGCGGAACGAGTCTGCCTGTGAGAAACGGAAACTGCGACGGAGGGAACATCGGATTGACATCGAAGCGACATCGCAGCGCAAACACGATTCGGAAGGTTAAATTTCTCCCGAATGAGACAAGGGAGCGTCGGCTCTCGATGTGGACTCTCTTGCTCTGGGCAGAATGGAGAGGAAAGTTGAAAACGTGCGAAATAGATTCTTCAATGCGCGGCAGTAGTTGTGTTTGGAACTCGATCTCCTATCCAGAATTACGTCGAAACTCATGGAATGAGCTTCTAGTTCCGTGTAGGAGGGCGACTTCGTGGGGCAAGTGTCGAATATGTTCGTTTCGTTCGAGTCACGTGCATATTCGAATCGCCTTCCTCTCGACCGCAACAACGTTGCGACTCTACCGGCGCGGCGGGCCGGTTAATCACTGCTCCTCGACACGAAACACGCAGTCTTGCCTGCCACATCGCATTACATCCAGTAGCTCGACTCGCCGCGCGGTCGACCTTAAGAACTTAGCGTCGGCCAAAACTCCGTCGAGACGGCGCGGCGGACGGTTCACACTGAGCTCGGATAAGTAGCGATGGGATGAGCAGCGAATGACGACGGCCAAAAAGACCACACCGCACCGTCATCGCGGCAGCTAATGCTATCGTTCTTGAGGAATACAAGTTCCTGCGCAGAGAACCAAGAGATGGAGCCGATGACGAGGAATTCGCTGGGGATCCATTTTGTTTTGGGGCTTAGGAATAAAATCGGCGCACGCTAGAGTGAGCGAGGCGTAGCGCTCATCTCACGGAGAGATTCCCCTCCGAGCTAAGCCTTCACAGGCATGTCGCGCCGGAGACTTCGCGGAAACCTTCATCGAGTTGCATTATCGGATCCCACTTCACTCATTCAAATGCATGCTGCCCAGCGTTAGAATGAGACCCTCCCAGAGAGTCGCTGTTGCTCAGCCAAGGGAATATGGGACTAGATTTGTGCGGAGTCGAACAAGCTGACAGCGATACGCTCCATACCGGAGGCGGATCCGAGTCAGGGCTCCGATCGGTGAGGAAAGGTATGGAAAAACCGCCGTCGGGCGATGCCGTCTTCGCGGAGTGAGGCTTCATGGAAGAGCAGGGCACTGGGACCATTCGTTTAGTTCGGTGATCTCAGCGTCTCTCGAGCTCGTCCCTCCACCCTAGAATGGATCTCAGACGCAGCATCGGGGATGAATACCCAGATTGTTGTCTCTTGTCAGAGACCGTTGTCTGAATGTCACCGACCTCCCGCACATTGGCGAAACTACGCTGCCATCGTCAGTGATCCACCCCGTCACTCGATCCAGCGGGGGGCTGCCTTCTTCTCGAAATCTCGCCGCGTTAGCTGCACTCCGGACGTTGCCTCTCCCTGGCTGCTGACGCACATTCCTGGTGACGAGTCAAGCGCGATTGCTTCGAAAACAGATTTGCACGATGGGGTTCCGGATCGAGTTCGCATCATGATCATGAGTGTCTCCGACCTTTGGAGACATCCTCGCTTCACGGTGTTTTATTCCTTCTCCGAGTCGATCTCTCCCTAAATTACTCGTATTGATTCATTTATCTCAATCAGCTCACTGGCTCTGAAGCTTGCGGATATACATAGATTGAAGCATGCGCGGTGCACGTACTCGATGAGGGCTCGATTTGATCCGGTACTTCCTCATCCACAAAGATAAGTTTATCCTTCCGAATTTTATATTTCTTCTTGAGTCGCCGCGAAGCTGGGCCCATCTGGAGCATGTGCATCCGGGCTTCAAACGCCGCCTCCTGTTTTTGGATGCGCCATACCATTTCGGAGACATTCCGTGACTCCTCGACATGCTTGGTAAGTCGCGCTCCGAAATCTATGTAATGGTTCCTTGAAATCACGAGTTAATACGGAGCCCTTCACTGGCCCGTCATCAATGAAGTGTTGTGTGAGTTATGAACCTCCGCGC